AGAGATGGCAGCGAGTTTGGCATGGAGAGAGATGGCAGCGAGTTTGGCATGGAGAGAGATTATGCGAGGGGAGAGTGTCATGTGTTGGGAGCGTCGACGGGAGCGCGTTCGGCCAGGAGATCGACCAGAAGTCGTACCACTACTACTCTGTGGACGTCAACGGCAAGGCGACGGTGGACCTTGATGCCGCAATCGGTTACCACAAGCGACAGTTGTCGCACGTGTTGGTGTGGGTGAAGAAGGTGGGGAGCTTCATCCCGGATGATTGGGAGTCGCTGACTGTGGACATTGTTGGCGATATTGTCCTGAAGCTCGTGGACAACCTTGCAGAGGACCACGACTGGCGGTTGGACAACGGTGCTTTTTTTTACACATACCTCGATCCGCTGCTTGTTGGTCGTGGGTACCTCCATGGAGAGATCCGGATGTAGGAGAAGTTCCTTGGGGATGGGATGGGTGGCCGGATGATGGCTTTACGACTCGGCTATGGGCCTTTCCTGACGTTGGGTTCAGAAGGTGGTGATGTTGTGGTCGAACGGCCGGCGGCTTCTTCGCCAGAGGGGGAGTGTCGAACGCGTGTGTTTCTCCACGTGGCGCACGGTGCAGATTGCCGTTCTCGTCGTGTATGGGATCTTGCGGTGCCCGACGAGCGATGGCATCTTTGGCGTCCACCGATTGTCCAACGCGTTTGTCTCGCCACGTGCCGCGCGGGGCAGTTGGCTGATGTGTAGAATATGGGGAAGGTGCGGTTCATGGGCATGTGGACATTTCGGCAACCGTCGATTGTCCACGTCTTTCTTTCGCCACGTGGCGCGCATCGCAGATTGCCGCTGTGGTGAGTGTGTGCAAGTGGTGATGACGCCCTGCGTGGACCGCGGGCACGGTGGCCAATGCGGTAAGTTCCTGCCATCCGGGATCATTCACGGTCCATGGCAGCCGACTTTCAGGAAGGTTTTGTGCTTCGCCGACCCATCCAGGGTTCCATGTCATTGATGGCGGCGGGTGGCCCGCCATGTAGATTTCACACTCCGTCGCCGGCTGGTATTAGGTGTAAGGACAGGCAAGTCGCGTGGGTAGTGTGTTGTGCGGCCATATAGTTCGATGGCTTCCGTGTCGTCAGTGCTTGAGGGTGGGAAGTGCAAGCAGGCACACGGCGCGTAAAATAGATGGGGTTAATTGAAGTTTGCCTTCGCTGGGGGCGTTCTCTTCGTCGAAACTTGTTTCATTCGGTGATGGGCTGGGACGTTGAATTGGCCGATTTCATTTCAGTTCGATGCTGTCGCACAAGGCGCCTACTCTGTGTGTGTGTGTGTGTGTGTGGGTGGGTGTTTTTTTTTTGTTTTTTTTTTCTTAAGTGATTCGGTTGCCTCTTCCGTTCCATTGGTTCGTGGTGAATGAATCGGCCACTGGGACGACGATTTCGTGCGGTGCTCGATGGTGATGTGTGTATTACGGGGGGTTGATGGTTTCATGCTCTTGCACACACACACACACACACACACACACACACACACACACACACACACACACACACACACACACACACACATGCGTGCGTGTGTGCGTGTGTGTGTGTGCGTGTGTGTGTGTGTGTGTGTGTGTGTGTGTGTGTGTGTGTCCGTGTGTGTGTGTGGAAGAATCGACTAGAGACCACACCACCGGCTATGTATCCCCCCCGGCGGCGAACAGGCGCGGCCAATTCCGCGGCCGCAGCCAGTCCGCGAAGCCCGCGGACGTGTCCGCGCGAACGCGCGGATTGGCGGACACGTGGCGGCCGCAGGGGAGGGGGTTTCGCCATTCTGGCGGCGCCACGTGGCGGCGCATCCCCTGCCCCAACCCCCCCCACACAAAAAAAACGAAAAAGATGAATTTTTGGTGGGGGGGGGTATGGTCGAAATACATTGAAATTGGAAAGAAAAAAGAAAAAAACGCGTTTTTTTTTTTTTTCTGATTGATTGATTGATTGATTGATTGGTGGGGGCGGGGTCGCCCCGCCCGCCCTTTGATTGATTGA